TAGATATTTTGTCATCTGATGAGTTCAGAGGCTTTTGGATCTCCTGGGCGGCAGATGGAACCATCGCTGCCGGTCGCGATGGAGAAAGCAGTCCGTTCATGCAGTGGCGGGACCCTAACCCGCTCGGTATTGCGTACTTCGGGTACTCAACAGGTTGGGGCAGTGCCGGAGAGTTTAGATTCCCCTGTCAGCCAAGTATGTGGATGTCAACTTATAATTAGTCAATGCAATTGTTGTATATGTATCTTTACATTTCACGCGTCGGTATAAAGAGCGCCCTAACGTTTTCATTGACATTTAGATCAGAAAGTTCTCTCGCCTGGAGCATTTGATCAGTCACTCTGGTCTTCCTTTAGTAGACTGACTCAGTTATGCTTATCACGTGACTTCTTTGAGGTATGACGTAAACACTGGGTCAAAATTAGGCGATGTCGGCCCCCGTCGTAGTCACACTTCGGAATCCACATGACAAGTCTCACTGGATCAGGCTACTGAAGAAGACCAAGGTGACTGGTCGAGAGCTCCAGGCGGGAAAACTTTGTTTTGGTTCAAAGGTTCTAACTCTAAATGTCAGTTGTATGATTAGGCCACACCGACTTAATTTTATGGATGACATCCTATGAAGACCCCTAAACTAGTGCGCGCGGGCGAATAAAAATAAAAATGTTAATAAACCACAGAAAAACAAAGCCCAAGTATTGAGAATTTGCCGCAGAGCATAGCGACGTATACGACAAGCCGGCTTTTTGCGGAATGTATGGATCGGCACTGTTCTTATGAGTTCTTGAATCATGGAGCTTCGCGTAGGTTGGGTGCCCGGCTCCCTATTGTCGCTACCTTCCATGGACTACCCAGGCCTGGAGACAGGCCAGAGCCTCGGGGGACGTGATCTTTTTTTTAGAACAGCCGAAAATCAATGCGCGCGCGGATGTCATACATAAACTTAAGTCGGCGTGGCCTTACGTGAAATGTTTTTTTTTGTTTGTTTTGTTTTCCATTTTTTTGTTCAGGATACTCATTACTGATGCCTTCGTATTACGGCTTTGACATCTACAAAGTACCCGTGAATGGAAGCATGATAAGTGCCAGTCTCCGCACCGCTTGCGAAGCCCAGGGGATGCAACCAGTGTGCCACAAGGCTAACGAAGAGGCGAAACCGGAAAACTGGTTTTCTTACTGCCAAACCATCCCGGTTGGAACGGAAGTATCATCAGAAGAAAAGCATCACGAAGTTCTAGCATATCATTTGTGTGGTTCCGTGCTTCCAAAGGCATGCGAGCCACTGCATGATACTTTTGTTGCTAGGCGGGGCTGGCGAACCAATGACGGCGCGTGCGGTGCCAGACCATTTGCATGGTGCAGCAATGGCAACAATTTCTACAACAAGCACGCTCTTTGTGCCAGAGGTATGTGTGACAATTTACTAATAGCAACATTGTTCTTAGATTAATGGATGGTTTTTGAACATGACCATTATTCGTTAACCGCAAAAATTGCTATCGAACGATTTAAAAAAAAAATACGATGTTTTTACCTTACCGGTACATGATAGCGAAATGCTAATTTTTATTTTCGGCGCAATTGTTACCTTCAATCAAAAAAATTCAGAATATATTTAGTTTGGAGACACATGTCCTGCTAGCTGGTAATGTCTTGAGAAGCATTTGCAAGACTGGGTACAGATGTGTTCCTATGTATATGATTCCCACTGTTAAATCGGCTAAACAGTGTTTTTGCGTAGATTCTGGGGATCATCATAATTACATGTACAATGCGACGTCTTTTTCTCTTTAATATTGTCAAACAAACTAAATCTTTAAGCATTACTGAGCAATAGCAAAACGTAACGGAACATCAGGGTAACAGGTTAAGCATGTTATATTTCATTTGGGTACATATAGAGTTATTGATAGCAAATTTATGAGTGTCTGCATAAGGTGTGGCTCTCCGCTTAGTTTCAGAGGAAGGCAGTGCAGCGTTCCAGGAGGAATTGACATACCACTGCACTGGTGACAAGCCGTCCTACGTTACCATGGCTACCAGCGGCACGATAACCAGTGGAGATAATGGGCGGCGGAACTACAGCAGCGACAGTCTGTGCAGCTGGACCATCGAAGCACCGTCTGGAATGGGCGTGTCACTGACCTTCCTGACATTTGACCTGGCCGATGATGGCGAATGCCTATCGGATTACGCCGCGGTGTATGACGGGAGCAGCCAAAGCTCTGCTCTGCTGGGCAGGTTTTGTGAGAGTAACCCTGGCGTTGTGAACAGTACGGGCAACTTGATGCACGTTACCTTGTCACCAAC